GACCAGTGATGTGAGTGGCGATACTGGGAGGATGGAGGGAGGGTGGGTTGGAAAGGGGAAACGGATTACAAGGATCTACATGTGACCTCCTCCCTCGGGGATGGACAACAGAAAAGTGGGTGGTGAAGGGAGACATCAGACAGGGCAAGATATGACAAAATAATAATTCATAAATTATCAAGGATTCATGAGGGAGGAGGAAGCGGGGAGGGAGGGGAAAATGAGGACCTGATGCCAGGGGCTTAGGTGGAGAGGAGATGTTTTCAGAATGATGAGGGCAATGAATGTATAAATGTGCTGTACACAATTGATGTATGTATGGATTGTGGTAAGAGTTGTATGAACCCCTAATAAAACGATTTTAAAAATTCCCCAAAAAACCAACAACAAAAAGAAATTATACAAACCAAACTATTAGCTTCATAAATTAGTGAAATTAAAGTCCAGAGGAAGTAGTTCATGCATATTCATACATGGGCTAAACACCAGGTCTCTTAGTCTATTGCAGATTTCAGTAAGGCTTTTAAAACAGCAAACCGGAAGTCGTAAACAGCAATATGCCAATCATTAGCCATTTTACTCTAAGGAGGCAAGATGTACACACACAGACACACACACACTTAAAGAAATAAATTCCCTCCTCACTTTTCAGTTCTCCTCTTTATCAGAAAGTGGGGAATAACAATGTATTAGAGACGAACTTTGAGCGGTGAGGAAAGCGTCTTTTACCAGGATGAGGTCTACTTGGGGGAGGTTCAGATGGGGCAGCAGTTAAACTGAGAGGCAGTGCTCTTTCTCAGACACTCAGCAGGGCGCAGGCGCTACCGTGTAGTCTACCGGGCGACAGGATGCTCTTTTCTTGGGGGTGGAAGTAGTAGTGCATGGTTTTCCTTTTCTTTCTCTCGGTTCTCTTTCCCAACTTTTTTTGAGGGGGGTAGGTAAACAGGATATTTTAATATTCTGATAGTATTCTCATACATGTTATCTTCATGGAGAAAAAATGATTATAAAAGTGAAAAATATATTCTATAAAAATTAGGAAATGCAAAACTTCACAGAAAACAAGTTACCCTGAATTCTACCACCCATAGAAAGCCATTATTAATGTTTTGATACTTTAATAGTATTTTTCTTGAGTACACAAATTTTAAGATAATTGAGATATCAACTATGACATGAAAAACCTTTTACTGTTACTTGGTGTACAGGTACACAGTGATATAAAAAATGACAGAAGTTGGAAAAGGGCAAAGCTTTTGTGGGGCCGCCCCACAGAGCAGAGGAGCAAGTCTACATACCTTGGCCCTCTCGTAGAGAAACAGCCTGACAGTCGGGTAGGCTCGGACACCAGCTTTCTGGCACGTCTGGGCATAAGCTTGGCAGTCTACTTTCCCAGCTTTCACTTTCCCCTTAATTGTCTGGAAAGAGAAACAAGTATTTTCTATGTCCTCTTAGGCATACATTAGTTTGGCAAGCAACGGCAAGGATAATATACTAAATATTTCAAGTCTTTTTAAATCCAATAAGTAGATGGCTTATAAACTTGAATTTCTAAAAATCATTTTATTGGGGACTCGTACAACTCTTATCACAATCCATACATAACATATGTATCACAATACATACAACCATTGTGTCAAGCACATTTGTACATTTGTTGCCATCATTATTTTCAAAACATTTTCTTTCTATTTGAGCCCTTGGTATCAGCTTCTCATTTTTTCTCCTCCCACCCCCATGAACCCTTGACAATTTATAATTATTATTTCATGTCTTACACTGACCAATGTCTCCCTTCACCCACTTTTCTATTGTCTGTCCCCCTGGGAGGGGGTTTTATATAGATCATTGTGATCAGTTCACCCTTTCTCCCTTCCCCTCCTGGTATGGCTACTCTCAATATTGGTCCTGAGGGGTTTATCTGTCCTGGACAACCTGTGTTTCCAGCTCTTATCTGTACCCATGTACTTGCTTTGGTCCAGCCAGATTTGTAAGGTAGAATTTGGGTCATGATAATTTAGGGGTGGGTGGTGGGTGGAGCATTAAAGAACTACAGGAAAGTTGTATATTTTATTGGTGCTTGACTGCACCCTGAATGGCTCATCTCCTATCCATGATCCTTCTGTAAGGGGATGTACACTTCCATAGAGATGGGCTTTGGGTCTCTACTCCAAACTCCCCCCCATTCACTATGATAGGATTTTTTGTTCTCGGTCTTTGATGTCTGATACCTGATCCTATCGACACCTCATGATCACACAGGCTAGTGTGCTCCTTCTTTGTGGGCTTTGTTGCTTCTGAGCTAGATGGCCGCTTGTTCTCTTCGAGCCTTTAAGACCCCAGATGCTTTATCTTTTGATAGCCGGGCACCATCAGCTTTCTTCACCACATTTGCTTATGCACCCACTTTGTCTTCAGCGATAAACTTAAATCTTAATCCTTATTCAAATGAACGAGTTTTCAAACATTTCCTGACTCCTTACCCTATCCTTTACTGAGCACCACCTCTGTAAAAGCAGGCAAGACCTCCTTTGTTTTACCAGAATCTTCACTCTCACTACTTCACCTTCCCCTTGGTGCCACCTTTTGCGTGCATGTGTTGAGGAAAGAGCAGATCTGACCGGGGAGCTCAAGACTTAGTCTTCCTCAAGGAAAAGAATGTTCCCTCAGTTCAAGCCGGAAACTAGGGTCAGCCTAGATCACAAAATATTGTTTATTCTTAAGCTTCTCTTTTAATTTTCCCTTTCTTTTATCACCATTGCCCAATTTCTGGTTCAGGCTATCATCTTTCATTCTCTCATTTGTCCACATGCTGTGGACAAAACAATAGGCAACCAAGATATTTTGGTCCAATTTTACCAGAATATAATATAGGTGAAGGGAAACATCGGCTTAGCTTTTGCTATCCTTCTTCTATATTATATTCTGGTAAAACTGGACCAACATATCTCGGTTGCCTATGGTTTTGTCCACAGCATTGGAGTGTTCATGGCAGATGAGCTTGTCTAGCGCACCAGCACAGCTGCATTTTCAAGCATGGATGTGTACGCACACAAGCATCTCAGTTCACACTGAGGGCGAGTAAATCTAAAAATGAGATTTTAGTAAGTTTTTGTGCCATTTACAAAATGTTTAGTTTATATATTCATTGATTATTTGTATTTCCAGTTACTACAGGAGGGCACAGTATCATTTTTGGTCTCCATACCTTTTCTCTGGTCTGTCAGCCTTTGTCCAATTCATCCTGTGAGAGCTTTCTATCATGAAAGGTGGATCCACCCCCTCAATACTTCTATAATGCTAATGCTGAACACATTTCAGCTGAGCTTCCAGACGAGACCCACCAAGAAGAGCCCTCGCCCAGTGATCTAGTTCTGTAAACTAGCCAATGAACCTTCTGACCCTGTGGGTCATAATATTCTCCTCCTGTGTGCAGGGATCTTCATGGAGAAGAATGCTTAAACAGAATACATTCTACTGTATGAATTCATGGAGAGCTAGTTGTTAGTGCGAGTATTACAGGGGAAAGGACCCACTCCTTTTTGTCTGGTACTGAGGCTTAGCTTTTGCTCTCCTCCTTCTATATTATATTCTGGTAAAATTGGACTACGAGGAGAATCCTGAATATGCCTTGCTCTATTAAATGTCTCCGTTCTCTTGTAAATACGGTCTTCTCTGCTCGGCATGGTCTCCAGTCGCCCCTGTGGACAGCCTAACTAGTCATGCTGTAATTCTCGCCTCAAGACTCACTTTTCTGGAGAGCCGTTTGCTTCTCCCTGGCATGGCTTTGGCATTCTTTTACCCATGCTCCTGCTTCACTCTTACTTAAGTATAGTTAACTCTCTTGTCACATTGAGTATGTTTATTTCCATTTTTTATATCCCTACTAGATTTCATTTTCTTGAAGACATGGAACTTTTGCTTTTATTTTTGCAGCCTCAACAGCTTGCACAATACCTCTATTTAATGTTTATAATACAAGAGTGATTTTCATGTTTAGTCATGTTTTACAATATTCAAGATAATTATGTAACAAGATATAGAACTAAGCTAAGTTTTTAATACTGGAGCGAAAAGGAAGTCAAACATTTGTTAGAATTTTTAGAGAAAAGGGAAGAAAAGAAAGATCTAAAAAAAGTAGAAAGAATGAATTACCTCTCAAGTGAAAGACCAGTCAATAAAGAAACAAATCCTTTATGGCTCACAGGGGCTTTGGGTCCATTTACTTCAAAACTAAACCAAACCCCCCATTTGGGATGATCTGCTTTTGTTTTGGCACAGTAGAGCTGGTGCTGACGCACACATTCGAATGACTGTTTTAGACAGAAAAGAGTTCCCGAGTCCCTTAGCGAGGGAGATATTGATTGATGGGGAGTAGGGCAATAGGACTACTATGACAGAAACACTCCAAACTCTGCATTCAGTTTAATTGCATATGTACTGAGTTATCCACTGGGAATATAAAGTTATCCACTGGCACTGATAATTGAGAGAGCATATAAGTTCATTTGAGCTGGGATTTATGGAATGAAGGGAGTAATATTTAGATGACCCAGGTAAGGAAAGCAGCAAGAAATGCAGGTGAAGCACTGTTATGTTCACAAAAGTGGAGTACTCTGATGTGCCTGAAATGTGATATGTATGTGATAGAGTTGAAAAGGGAGGAAGGATCAGATCGGAGACCAGATGTCAATGGCACTTGAATGCACATGTGGAATGTCAAGGAGCTGGGTTCATAGGAGGGCCGAGAAGGCAGGACTTTAGAAAGGTCACCAGGACACACTGAAGAAGGTAGCCTGTACTGGGTACCTGGTAGAAAAGGTGAGAGGTGAAGGTTTGAGCAGAGAGCTAGTTATGAAGATGGTGAGAAGGGGGTAGACTTAAAAGAAGTCCCAGAGATAGAACTCATGGTATCTAGGAACGGCCTGGAGGGAAGTAGAGTACTAGTGATGATGGAAGGAGAGAGGAACAAGAGGGTTAGAGAGAAGTTTCTGGCTTTGATGGCTAGGTAGATGATGTCATTAAAGAAGGTAGCGAAGGCACGTGAAAGCTTTACTACAGGAAGATAGAAAGAAATTTGTAAATATCTTCATCATAAGAATGGAATATTGTTTTTTAAAATTCAGAGGAAGCAAAATTATTAACACACCTATGTGATAAAACTTTTTTAAGAAGAGAGGCAAGACTTACCCTAGCCAAGAGTTCAAACTCTGGAGCAAAATTTTGGCAAGGTCCACACCATGGAGCATAGAAATCGATCACCCAGTGACTGCTCCCCTGCAAAACCTTCTCATTGAAAGTCTGAGGTGTTAGATCTACGGAGGCTTGAGGTAAAAATCTGTAAAAAGGGATGAGAATTATTTTCAATGACATATATCTATATGAAAGCAATTACCTAACATGAAATATTGCAAGGTTTTCTACATTATAAATGATTGCTTGGTAAATTATAATTATTTTATCAAGTATGGTAAATGTTAAAGCTCTTAAACAATAAATTTAACAACAGACCTAAGAGGAAGGGGATAACAGCTTTGAATCTGTACTTTTAATTACTCACCCTAGACCCCAAATTCTTAGGGAATATGCATCCCTATGCCAACCTCTGTAGCTGCTGCAAGAAGAGAAAAATTGAGTTGTACAGAGCACTTTCTGACGCTGCAGATATACAGAAAACCACCGCAGGGTAGGAATTCAAAGTTTAATTGGACTTCATATTGTGCTCTTCTCAGACCTGATCCCACTACAATTGCTTACATGGCTTCCCAAACCATTGTTCATTAGTCTGGATGTCTTTTACAGCTCTAGCTATCTAAGACTTTTGAGTACAACGAAACTCAACTGTTGGAAAATTTAATTTCTGAAACCTAACCTTGAGCTACTAATGTCGCTCAAATTACTACCCATTTTTAAAAATCCATGTCGACAGACATTATAAATGCAGTATTTCATAATTTCCTAAAACAGTGAAAAAATATTTCTGCTTTGAAATCCAGGGTTCATTTTAACATCTTTAATAACTTTAATCATATTCCGCCTTGAGTTTTCTGCTTGAGTTTCTGCTGTGAGTCTTCTACCTGAAATACTACACGATGTTGTGGCAAGTGCATGGGCACCAGGAAAGACCTGGGTCCACACACTCTAGTTTCAAGCCGTTCTTAGCTCTGTGTCTCTGAGTCAGTTCACCTGTCGGTAAAAGAGGGTCACACTTTCCTCAGGGTACGTGTGTGAACTAGTGGAGATAATGTAAGTCAGTGGCTAGTATAATACCTGCGCCGTCAAGTAGAAACGGACTAAATGGCAGCTCTTCCTTTTCCTTTCTCCTGATGTCTACTGGGCTCTAAGCTTCATGAAGGGTGGGGCTGTGCAGGTCTTCTGATCTTCCCAGGTGCTCAGTAAGCTTCTATCTATCTTAAATATGGCAGACTCCCAATAAAAAGCTTTTGGGTTACTTTTAAATAGTTAGGGTTACTTTTATATGTTAATAATGTATAAATAAATGTTTTCGAATGAGAAAATACTTACTGATATTCATAAGCTTTATTTGACTTTGGGGGGAAAAATCTTATCTCAGGGTAGCTCTGAACATTTTCTTGGACACAAAAAGAATGATACTGTTGGCAGTCTACACTGCCTACGTTGATCTGTCCAATTAACATCTATAACAGAAAAGAAAACTTTAGCAACATGATTATAATAAAATGAGCTATATAATTATTTTACATATGCTTATAATAAAGAAATCATCACTGTGAATTAGCTATACCACCAGTGGTTTCATTTTTATGTCACTGACAAACATTATAGGTATACTGACTCAGACAGAAATTTTAAAAATACATAGACAGAGGATAAGAGGTGTCATCTGACTTTGAAGACATGAACAATCACTGTACATGTGAAGTTTGATTATCTTTTATCTTAGAAATAGGGATGAAATATTGATTGCATTTTCCAATCGAGAACATTGCCTGTATGTAGGAAAATTTCCTAATCCATGTATTTTAAATATCAAGATTATTTTCTCTTTCAAGGCCTACAGTATTGTGAAGGAATTCCATCTTTAAGCTCTAAAAAGAAACGGGTATAATAAGTTTAAGTGAAAAACACAGGGTCAATAAAGGTGCCCTGGTGGTATAGTGACTAAGCATTGGACTGCGAAACCCCAAGGCCAGCAGTTCTTAACCACCAGCCACTCTGAGGAAGAAAGATGAGGATTTTTATTCCTGCATAGATGGACAGCCTCAGAAACCCGCAGGGGCAGGTCTCCTCTGTCTCTACGATGACTGTAAGTTGGAAATGCCTCAATGGCAGTGAGTTTGGAGTTTTGGTTGGGTCCACACTAACAACTTGGTCAAAAATGTACCAGGAAATACAGGCTAATCGTACGATGCCATTCAGATACCAGTTGTTAAAAACAAAGCCAAAACTTAAATGGAATACTCAGAACTGTTGCTAAATCATAACCTAAAATTGCTTCTCAGCCTTTGGGCTAAGACCAAGTGTAAATGATAACCTAATTGTAAGTTCATCTTAGTTTCAAAATAATAAACTGTAATAAACACTAATATTTCAAATAAACGATTTTACCACACCCGGGCCATTCTTTTCCACTCTGGCATTAACATTTGACATGGATGACACCACGGAGAATGGAAATCAACCATCCATACTTCATCATGCTTTCTTTGTTTAACCAGCTCATTGAAAGTAGTGGGTGTAAGGGAGACCACGGAAGGATTCCTAAGATCCTAAAGAAAATACAGCTTCCATTAAAACAAATATTTTAAAAGGACTTATTTATACAATATTGACAAACCATACACATAATTTACAAAAGTTTCAATTGTGGAGAAATTAAAGCATTCATTAAAATATTTAAAGAAATTCCTGGTAATTGTTAAAAGTGAGAAGTGAGCCCTAATTTATTTTTCAAAATTGAATTTTGTCTAGCAATTTTCTTAAATGAAGTTGTGTTTTCCCCTTATCTCTATGCATCACTGTGATCATCTTAGTCAGAGAAAAGGCAATTTTATTTAAGGTTATAGGTCTATAAAGCACAAGTTCAAAGATTTGTCCAAATACCTACGTAGCTCATATGATTTTGTTCTGAAACCAAGAATGCTCGGTTTGGAAATGACCCTGCATTACTAATGGAAAGCATTACTATTTTTCTGGCATTCTGAATGGCAGGACAGAATTACTTCTTTGCAGATTACCTACTCCAAATGCTGGGTTATTAACAAAGCTGCAGTTATTATGACCAGGTAATATTAACCAAGACGTTAGTTTCACACTAGCAAAGTGGACAAAAGCAACACTATTACTCTGAAAGAGGGGAACGATGAATAGAAAAGAGAGTAAAATGGCCATTCAATGGACAATAATAACTTGAAATCCTCATTTCTTTCCTGGAGAGCCCGACTCCTATTTCAGTGAATCCTGAGAAGCAAAGGTAGAAAAGGGTGATAAAAAGATGCGCAGATGCAGGAGTCATCTATGTTAATAAAGCAGCAGGCTAAACACAGCTGTGCAGGCTTCCAGGGGCCTGCTCCACATTTCTTGGATAACACTGAGCTCCCGCTTACATCATCTATTCAGGCCTGGAAAGGAAACGTCTGTGGTGATTCCATCAGAGAAGAGCAGCACACAGGGAAGATATGTTTTACAATGTTGTGTAATGAATGAAGAGGTGTGTCCATTATATACATACCAACTAAACAGACAAAAAGGTATCGAATCACAGCCCCTATACTCACTTTATAATCAAGTATACAAGAGTAAAATAATGGCAATAACAAAATCATGTCCTTATTAGAAAACAATGTTTGTCATAAAAAACAATAAACCTAGTTAGTAAATAGTAAATATTCACACAAAATATACATTGCACATCAGGTTTATAGCCATAGGCTATAATTTAAAATATACCTCTATGAAGTCCAGAATCTGTTCAGCAGAATGATGCCCTTCATATTCATGAATATTGGACTGGTTAAATACTACTGTTGTTGGATAAGCCTGAATGTTATACTGTTAGGAAAGAGAAAACAAAAAAGGGTTTTCTATATTTTACCTAATTGTTTCAGATTTATAACCAGCTTGCTTTTATTGAAGTGTTTGTAAAACCATCACCCCTACAAACTCAGATCCCATTGCCAAATTGTTGGATCACCCCTACAAACTCAAATCCCATTGCTAAATTGTTGGTTAACAGAAGACTTTAGCCTGACCTAAATTAGCAAAGGAGAGGCATTCATGACTGTACTGATGAATCAATGATCTTCATGGATGGGGTCATGCTATCGCTATGTAACCCACAGGCACCGAACACTTAGAAGTTAGGATGCTTGGTCCTCTCTCATTCTCCTGAATCAGAAGTGGCTGTGAAAAGCAGTTAAAGCTCTACATTGAATCTTTAAAAAATAAAGTAAAATAAGGCATTCTTATTTTGCTAGAACTGTGGCTATAAAGAAGAAGAATTTGGTCACGTTTCAGTCTAGGCATCAGGACAGCCTGTACAGGACAAAGTGCACTGAGCAGGAGCACCCGCCCAAGAAGAATCTTTCTCAGATTTTTCCTTATTTTTGAAAGCGACAAAGGCCCTCTATCTTTGGCTTAAGGAGCCTGGTGGTACAGAGGTTAAACACTTGGTTGGTAAGGCCAGCATCTTTTAATTTTTAAAATTTCTTTTATTTTTTATTAATCCTATTGGGATCTCTTACAGATAGTATAACAATCCATAATTCAATTAGGGCAAGCATAATTGTACAAATGTTGCCACCATCAGTTTCAAAACATTTTCTTTCTTCTTGAATTCTTTGATATCAGTTTCCCTTTCCCCCCTCCCTCCCCCACTCTACCCCCAGGAACCCTAATATTATCATTTTCCCTGTATCTTACACCACCAAATATATCCATTCACCTACAATTCCCTTATTCATTCCCCTTGAGTGGGGTTATACGGTCATGATTGCTATCAGCTCCCCTTTCCCCCAGTTCCCCCCCACCTCTTCCCATACCCTCAGGGAATCATTACTCCCACTACTGTTTCTGAAGGGTTATCTATCTTGGCTTTCATGCAATTTGTAAAACTAAACTTAATTATACAAATGAACATATGCAGGTCTAGCAAGATTAATGAGGTAAAACAAAGCCCATGATAGTAAGGGGAGGGAATATTAAAGAACCAGAGGATAGTTACGTGTTTCATCAGGGCTATACTGTACCCTGGATATGTCATCCCTTCTGTGTGGCCCTTCTGAGAGGGACTGTCCAATTATCTCACAGATGGGTTTTGGGTCTCCACTTTGTTCACACTCTTTCACGTCAATTTGATTGCTTGTTTTTGAACTTTTGACACCTATTCACATTGACACCTCATGATCACGCAGGCTGGTGTGCTTCTTCCATGTGGGCTTTGTTGCTTCCCTGCTAGATGGCTGCTTGTTTAACTTCAAGCCTTTAAGACCCCAGATGCTGTATCTTTCAATAGCCAGGCACCATCAGCTTTCTTCACCACATCTGCCTATGCACCCATTTATCTTCAGCGATCGTGTTGGGAAGGTGAGTATCATACAGTAGAGCCAGCATTTTTAACCCACCAACCAAACTCCCAGGGAGAGATGTGGTGTTTGTGCCTGTAAAGATTAGCTCCTTGGAAGCCCTAGGGGGCAGTTCTACTTTGTCCTCTGAGGTCACCATGAGTCAGAATTGACTCAATGGCCACAAGTTTGGTTTTTGTTTTATTCCATGGTTTACACAGCACCGTGGGCTCTGCATCAAACTGCTAGGCGCAAGGTCAGTAGTTTGACAAACCAGTCGGTGTGCAAGAGGCCTTCAGTGTCGGACAATGGTCCAGTGCTGTGTGTACGGTATTCAGTGTCCAGTTCCTCAGAAGCGGACAGCCCGTTCCTTCCTTGTGGTCTGTTCTCAGTCTGGAAGCTCCACTGAAACCTATACAATTTGGGGGACCTTGCTGGCATTATAAAAGTACGAGTGACATAGCTTGCAGCATCACACCAACACACAAGCCCCCCACAGAATGACAAAGGGACAGAAAAGTGGTGGTGTCTCCTATTAGATTGCCAGAAGGCCTATATTAAATTTTTTAAAAATTAATAATGCTTACACTTATGCCTTACCGTGCTACAGAGCCCCTCATGAACTGTACAATCCAGGGTACCAAACTTAAGCTGACCATAAAGGTGTTTGGAAGCTTTTCGTAATTCTGGTAATAAAGCTCGACAGGGTGGACACCACTATAAGAGAAAAAAGCAAACAAAGTAATATAAGCACTGAGCAAGTGAAACAAAAAGTAAGATTTCTACAACAAGCAATGCCAGGGCAAGTGAAAAAGTATGGCTACTAGGGCCCCAGGTAAAACATACACCGGTTTCTTCAAAACAAAACGTGTCTTACAGAGTTTTCCTCTATGATCAGTGCATGACTATGGACAAGATCTCTCAGTAAGACACTTATCTTAGGGTGCCTTCAAAAAACCTGCCCCATCAGAACAGTGGGTTCTGAGGGGAGCTATTAGGCTAGTTAGATTGCGGCAGAGGTCAGCTCAAAAGGTTCTAGTTTTTTTTTAATTCCAGGGGCAATTTTAGTAGATTTTCTCAAAGGGCAGATGATCAATTCAAAACTCGAAAGGGTGAGGTGGTGGCTGCGAACGAGCACCAGGCGTTTCCCCATCATTATAATGCACTTGCTCGTTCTTCGCGAGCAGCAAGGGCTGTCCTATAACAAGTTCAGCTGGAAACCTTACCCCATCCATCCCAAAGCCCTGGTGTTGCCCTTCAGCCACCTTCTTTCCTTTCCCAAACTCAAAGAATACTGAAAAGGAAAACAATCTGAACCCTGTGAGGATAGTAAAAGCAGCGTTTTATGTGTTGGAAATCTAAGATCTTAAATCCCCCAAATCTTCGGGGAAGGATGAGAGATGAAGTATGGGGCCTACAAAAATGTAGTGACTTACACAGAGGCTATGTCTAAACACAGTTACTTTGTCTAAACACATTTTGATATCTTTGTTCAATAAAGGTTCCTATGATTTTGTAACGATACATTCTGATACCCTAGTATGATAAGGTGAACCACGTTGTACATTCTTAGGGTTAAGTACATCAGTGCACATTTAAAAACAATATGCAATATTGGGCAATAATGAATAATACTGGGCTAGTATTATAGTATTAATGATTCAAAGTTTTCTAGAGTTTTTTTTTTTAGTATACAATGAGAAAATCCAGTAACATTGAAATTTCATAGATATAAATACAACTTACGGGGGCAAAAAAATCAACAAGCCATGGTTCTTTTTCATTGGCAGGAAAATTTTGAGGTCCAAGTGTGGTGACATGAGAATTAACACTTTCTTTGGCAAAAGCAAGGATATCATATAGAATCATCTTTCCTTTGAGAAGAAATAAGAGTACAATTAAAACCTACATTCCAGAGACACATTTCAAAGTTTGTTTACCCACAATTTTAGTGTTTGGTTGCTAAATCTAGGTTTGTTGTCAGGTGGATGTTTATTCTGGCACATTTTTGTTTCTTAGAGGATCAATTAAAATCCAGACCTCTTTGAAATAGCCCTTTATCCTGAGACGCTGAATAATCACTTCCTTAAAGTGTTTTCAGAGTTCTTTATGCTTACCTCAGGTATTTTGTGGCCTAATTCCCAAACCTGTACCTTCCACCTAGACTTCTTTTATGAAATTTAAAACCTCTGTTATTAACTGCCCTGTGGAAAATAACTGGATGTGATAGAAAAACAAATTTATTTTAGCCTTTAATTTTTCCTTTTCTTATCATGTCTATCTTGCCAATGATAATCATCTACCCACCTAACATCTCCCAGTAATCTCTAATTCCTCTGCTCTTGTATCTTAAATTCCATCTATTCTCTCTCTTACCATCAATAACGCTGTCACTGCTGTCTGAATTCAGTTTGGCCCACTCCAATCATCAAGCTGCTCTGTCTGCTCCCAGTATTCCTTAATGATCCACTTTTTAAGTTGCCTCCATCGTCAACTTAAAAACCTTCACGTGATCGTATTGTCTCTTCACAAAGGCCTCTGAAGACTTGCCGTTATCTAAAGAATATACCCCCTTAGCTTGCCAAATAAAACCTTGGTTTAACCACTCAATACTCAAAATTAAGTGAAGAACTTAGTACGAGGCTGACTGAGTTTTAAATGCTTTATGGCACACAACAATGAAACATCACTACCCCTCCCTTTAAGAAGCTCACTGTCCAGGGAGGAAGTTACTTGCAGGTACCGAAGTCTATGTTTTGCCACCCTCACTGCTTTTTCTTTCCTTTAGCAGTTGCTTCTTAAACAGCTCGACAAATTCCTCTAGCACAAACCCTCCCTTCAAGGGCTCTAATATTGATCTTTTTCTCCAATCTTTTTCTCTGACCACTTAAGTCTAGCAAGCTTATACTTTTCCCTGGACTTTGATTACAATCACTTATTCAAACTTACATGCTTTAAACCAAATATTTCTCTTAGGTCAAGATCTATACTCTACTGTGAATTTGGTGTCTATACTCCAAATCAGCCCCAGCCTTCCTCTACTTCACATGCTCTATTCATTTGCATGCCAATTCACCAAGTCAGAAACGTGCGTTTCATTCTCGATTCATTCTCCCATTCTAAGCAATCATGAAGCATAATTTGCTTTGTTTTAGGGTTAGAAGCCTATCTACTTCTGTTCGTCCAAATCATCACTATTTAGTTAGGGTGGCCATCTGTGTCATCAAGATGATCTGTTCTCCCCTTCATCTTGTTACAAGCAGCCTCCTTTCTAAATCATATCGATGTAGAGACATAATGCAATACTGACGAAGATTCTATTAGCATTCTTTAAAGAAACAGAAAAACTAATCAACACTGGACGCAAAAGAGGTCCCCGATAAGCGAAACATTACTTAAGAAAGCAAAGTAGAAGTTCTCTCACTTCTTGATCTCAATCCTCATTGTATAATAAAGGTATTCAGACTAGCCTGGCCCACGAATGGAATGGAATTGAGAACCCAGAATAAATCTGCCTCCCTACAGTTTATCTTGGACAAAGGACTGAAGCACATGAAATCAGGCAAAAATAAGCCTCTTAACAAATGGTGCAGTTAAAACTGATTACCTATTTGCAGAAAAAGGAAACAGGATCCCTCTCTCCATATTAAAAAACGAACCCAAGATGGATCAAAGACGGAAGTCTAAAACGTAGACCTATAAAAACTGTCAATGATCATGAGGAAGGGGGAGCGGGAAAATGAGCTGATATTAAGGGCTCAAGTAGAAAGCAAATGTTTTGAGAATGATGATGGCAATAAATGTACAAATGTGCTTGACACAATGGATGGATGGATTGTGATAAGAATTGTATGAGCGTTCCTCCGCCACCTCTCCCTGAGTTCTTTATCTCTGCTCCTGCCTGGTCTATCTATCTCCTTCCGTTTCCCTTCCCTCTTACACACTCAGCAGCTTCCATTTCTCAATAAAGTCTTTTAACTGATAAGAAAAAAAAAAGAATTGTATGAGCGCCCAATAACATGATTAAAAAAAAAACCATCAAGGAAAATATAGGGACAAACTTAGGGGTCCAAAAACATGGCATAAATACACTAGCAAATATAACTAAAACACACACAAACATTAGAAGATAAACCAGTTGACTGGGACCTACTAAATTTTAGACACATATGTGTCAAAAGATTTTACCACAAGAGACCTCATATATGGGAGGAAATATTTGGTGTCAATAAACCAGGGCAACGAATTAAGCTCTAAAATTTATAGAACATTTAGCATTTCACCAAGGAAAAGGTAAATAAGCCAATTAAAAAAAAATAGGCCAAGAACACGAACAGACACTTCACCTCATAAGTAAGACATGTGGGTGGCCACCAAACTCATGACGACATGCTCACAATCATGGGCCATTACCGAGATGCAGTTCAAAGCAACAAAGAGGTGTACATTCACCCCAGCACTGAGTGGTAGCTAATCAGTTTGTGCAGACTTTTGGTAGTCTAGTGGAGAGAAACTGCAGAAAGACATCTGAAAACTGTGCCTAATGGATGAGAAGCTACACCTCATGGAACTGACACTGCAGATGTTCGTGTGGTTAACACATAGGACCCCAGCTTACTCATTAACCTGACATCCCTAGAGGTTTCACTGAAACATCGATCGAAATATTGAGAAAACAATGATTTGTTTTAAAAAGAAGAGTAAAAGGCACACATAACTATGCAGTTCAAAATATCTTTTTCCACAGGAAACATATTTGCTAGTAAATGAGAGCACTTTATAAAGTATGTACTCATACAGAATTAGAAAAAAGCAGAATTAGAAAATTTATTAAAAATACAGAAAGATAAAAAAAAAAATACAGAAAGATACTTATGGACAGCCCCCTCCCCCCAAATAAAAAACAAAGTTTAAAAAAACACAACAGATTTTAACATTGTTTTTACCATGGTGGATTTCATATTCTCTGGTTCCTTGTCCTTTAAAAACTGCTAGACAAGGCTGGAAGATATAGAGAGTCCTGCAGACGTCAGGTGCGGACGAGCAGTCAAACCTGCCAACCTAAAGCAAGAGGTGGCTAAGCGTTGGCCTGACATAAACACAAAATACTAGTCAACCAGTTTCTAAATATTCATCGCGATCATTTAAAAATTACAGTGTTCAGCACCGTTCTAAACAGAAGTATTAAGGAACAATAAAAGAAAGAGAAATATACTGTTTACATTTAATACCGAAACTCAATTTACTTAGAAGAAAAGGCAAAACAAAACACAAGCCAACAAAAGCGTTTAAAACCTGAGATGCAATTTCCAAGAAAGTATGAAGTTGCTTAACAAATCTATCTTCAAGATACAGGAAATGTACACATAATCTCACCCTGGGGTGAGAAACGGTCACAAAACACAAAACCAAGAGCACAATTAATTAAAAAACTGTCAAGTGAAGAGTCACATAAGCAAAAAGGCAAATAATAAACTAAGGAAAACTATTTACAGCATTTAAGACAAAGAATCCATTAATAAAAGAGGAGGACAAAATCCTATTAGCCAAAAGAAAATGGATCAGAGACATAAAGATAAAATAAACTGGAAAAGAAATATGATTAATTATGAAATTTTACTGGAAAGCGAATATATAAAAGTGAATCACTTTTGGCCTGTAAGAATGGCGCGCCTGGCCACCAGAGATGGCGAGAAAGGCCCAACCACACATTGTCAGTGAGATTCATTAAATCCCAAACAAACTTCCTGCCATCGAGTATGGAGGATTTAAAAATCTTGAAGAAAATATACAACCTTTGTGTTAAAAACTCCCGATAATAGGAAATAAATGGACATATGCTGTAATGTTTGATATGAAAAATAACAAATGTGAAACACAATATTATGGAATAATCACACATAAAATACTCAAGCCTTCAGGAACAATGATGCACACACGTATTTATTGTCATGTGAACTTTATGCTATTGTTGAATGCAAAAAATTCGCAACACAGGATATAATTAATTCATTTGGATCAAAAAGGATATATAATAACTTATATGTGTATAGAGTAGTTTACATGTGTGCTTCTATTATACCGTGCATAGATATATATACCAATATAGATACACTTACACATGCTCATATTCACATAAGATTTGAAATGTTCTATCAGTAATGGGAGGATGGGTAAATTTTAGATATTTATATTTTTGCTTATTTATATATTCTAATTCTTAAATGGGCAAGAAGTACATATACAGAAATAATAAGAATTAAAAACAAGAAAAGTACTCTGATACAGTATGTGTGAGGGGTTTTGAACAAGTTTGTGAAAAAATGGACTATTTCCCTAAACTTTTTGAAGGCCTCTCAAATTCATGGTACATATTTATCACATGGTAACTAGTCAAAAGAAATAAAAATTAACCAAATACAAATATTAACTAAGTTTTTAGTGGAAAAAAAAGAAAATACAAAAATAACTTTTAACCCAATTTCAAATAGTTCTCTAATAGAATTAGCTTTTATGTTACTAAAATTTAATTATATGTATTAAATTAACAAGAAAACATATAAGCCAGAGACTAGACAGAACACATTTCTCTTACCTGAATATGTTCATTTTTGAGTAAAGTTTTCAGTTTCTTCAACTCAGAATCATTTGAATTTTGATTTTGTCCAAAATCAAAAAATAAGAGCCATCTATGATGAGCCAAACGATCCTTACAAATAGAGAAATACCAGAGATGGGAAATTTTCATCTTTCTTTGTCTGACTTAATGTTAGCCTTAACCATCCTACCCATTATTTCAAAATATTGTTTATAATACACACTTATTCATAGACTTTTTAGTTTACTTGGAATAATGCTATAACAAGTCAACTATATATTGTAGGAGGATGAACCGAAAAACGAATCCGACTGCCAGGGTTCCAGAGACCCAATATTGACAGTGGACGGCTCATCTTTCTCCCCCAGAGAAGGCAGGTGGGTATGAAGCCGAACTTGAGGTCAGTGGCCCATCCACTGGGGCTCTTTTACAGAAGGCCGAGAAAACAAAAGCCAAACTCACTGCCACTGAGTCGATTCCAACGCATAGTGACCCTACAGGACAGGGCAGGACCGACTCCACAAGTCTCCAACTCTACGAGAAGGCAGCCTCGTTTTTCTCCCTAGGAGCGGCTGGTGTTTTAACCTGCAGACCTCTTGGTTAGCAGCCCAATGTGTAACCACCACACCAGGGCTCCTACAGGAGGCTAAGTGCTACTAAATTATAAAGTCCTAAAATGATGCTCAGTACCATAGCATCAGTATGGTTTTAAAAAGTAAGTAATAAATGGAGAAGCATCACAGGTGGGAGGACATCAGTTAGTTGTGGTTTTCATTACAAGGTTTAGTAGGGACATAAACCTAAAGAGCTCTGGGATTAACAATTAGAAAAAAAACTACTGTTTTAATTTTCAGTGAGCAAATATGAATAATTCTATACACTAGAACCCACTGCTCAGCAGGCAACTCCAAAACTGCTTTCTGATCAAAACCTTGTGTTTTTCTGTTGCTGCCTTCCTGGGCAGGGGCCTGGGGCTTCCTCAGTCACACCTTCAACTGCAGCAATTAGAGCTCAGCCCAGAACCGACTCATATCTACTTCTTTAAACGGCACCTTCAAAGCTCTCTCGTGATGAATAAAACAACTGCTGATTTTAAAATGTTAAGACTTACAAATGTTCCCAACATTTTCAAAACATTACCTCTAGCGTATTTGCTGAAAGGACTTCAAAACCTGGAAGATTACTCATTACTTCCAAATATATTTCTTTAGCATCCAGTGAATTAAGACTCTAGAATAAAAGAATATTATAAGCTTTTTGCATAATTATTTTAAGTGATTTTTAGTTTTTCCATTTCCATAGTTGAAAATCATAGAAGTTAGCTTTTCAAGTTATTTATTCTAAGCATTCTCCTTCTTTCCAGAAACACACGTTATTTTTTAAAAGAATTATTACATATATCGCCGAGTTATTTCTTTAAAAAACTAAAGATGTAAATCATTTTAAATGGGTTTCTTTAAGTGTACTTTTCTAGTTCCTGGATTAACTGTGACGTGTAGGCTAAGAAAACCCATAGGACCACCTTGTGTGACCTCTGAACCATCTGGAAAAACCTGGATTTCACTCAGCCAGCCTTAATGCTAATCACATTTCCCAGAATTACAATGCTTTACAAATTCTTCTGACACTAGAGTCAGACCCCTCCTGGGAAGTCTCTGGGTGGTGCAGACAATGACCTCACCGGCTGCTGAATGGAAAAGTAGAGGACCAACCAGGTCCACCCAGAGTTGCCTTGGAAGAAAACTTGGCAATCTGGTTCTGAAAAACTAGCCATTGAAAATCTGATGGAGCAGTATACACTGACCAGCACATGGGATCCCTTCAGACTGGAGGGGACAGGATGGCAACTGGCTTTAAGACACGTCATACCTCACTTGATAATGGATAGTCTGATGAAAACTTACAAGTAGGAAATCAGAATAGATCTTAAAGCCTTTTACACAGACTTAAAAAAAAACTTGTATCTATACTAACAGATTTTAAGTATGATTCAGATTTAGGTTTCGAATTTAAAACTCAGCTTGAAAAAGATACATCTCCCTCCTAACACACTTCCATTACTTCTGCCCCTGTTTCTTCTGTTCCTGCTCCCCCCCCCCCCCC